ACCCTTTCCCTCCACAGATGTATAATTACTGACATCCAACTCTATTGTTTATCTACATCCTGCACCGCAAGTCCTCTGACTCCTGGCCACACAAATGCATTACAACACAATAGAATTCTATGGGGTTCGTCTGCCTTCCTCTCCCTTCTTTCTCAGTGTTCTCAAAAGCTACCCTAGTGACTTGGACTCTTATCTCTCTGCTGAGCTTTAGCAGTTTCACTATATGTGCACTATAGCTTCAGTGCAGCAAAAACTGTAAAAACTAGTTTCAGTTATGTGGAAATTGAAAAAATAATTTCAGAAGAGAAAACTGAATATGTGTTTCCAAACTTAGACATTGCATATATATTGCATATATTTTTTTATATTATATAGAACAACTATACGGCAGGACAGGATGGATGCCTTCTTGTCTCTTTTGTGTATAGAAGCCAATTTGTTCCGCTAAATTATTTCAAGAACTTGATCTAGAAAAACCTTTGTCTTCTAAATAAATATTAAGGTATAGGCAAATAGTTTGCTTACATGGTTTACATGCTTATATTTAGCAAGGATTACAGTATAGTGGTGACTCATATCCTGAGAGCAGCTAAGGTTAATGTGGTCAGGCGATGGAGGTCAACATCTGACAAGTCATCATTGACGTTAACACAGCCTGTTAAATGGAAAAAAATGATAGCCCTTAAAAATGGGTTTGATCATTCTTAATAGTCTTGCTGGCAGGCATGGATTGTTCACCCCAATAGCAATGACTGTGAAATAATGATTTATTGATGCTTAAACACTTATATGCAGATTACTCAGGAAGGAGTAGGTACTTTTTTTTAATATAGCCTGTATAATCTGTATCAATCTGTCAAACAAAGTGTACTCACATGTGATGTTATAGAGGAATTACCCTGCTATGTATGATTACCATAAGAATGTCTAGGAACCAATCTTCATAGCATCCCACACGGCTGCTAGGGGGCTGCAATAGGGGGGCTGATTAGGCAATATAAACTGTGAGGTTTCCAATATAAAAGGGCTGAAGTCCGAGCTCAGGATCCTCTAGTCACAGATACCCCACTGTGCAGTAAGAAGCATTTTCTTATCTATCTTAGCAATGTGGATTTATTGCCCTCTGAACTTCTGCTACAGACTGAAATTAACCCCATATGTCTAATGCCTTTGTTCTATCGAGAATGCCGACCCAGCCGAATTTAGTTTCTCACTGCTGTTTTTGACACAATGGAAGATCTTCTTTGATACTCCTGTTCCTTCTTTTGATTTATTTGACATCACCTTTTTTGGACCAATGGATTATAATAATAGCTTTGGTTTTTAACACATTTTACGTACTGCCTCTTTTTATCTTTTCCCACACCTTGGATGCTTCACACTGATCCCCTTTGTAAAGCTATGCATACAGACAAGATAGCTATTTTATATTCCTGTCTTTGGATATCCCTGGCTACAGTCTGCCCTGTGCTTCGCTTTGTCCCTGAATGTCTTAGTCTTCACCTTTCCCTAACCTTTGATTTGTACTCTGTACCTGTTAGGTGAGTTGGGTGGACCTAGGGATTGTGACTTAAGGTGGCCATACACTGTACAACCATCGCAAGACCTTAGTCTTGCGATGGTTGTAAAGTACTTAAAAAAACGTACGATCTGCCCATCTTGGACAGGCAGATCGTACTTGCGATCATTGCAAGCCCGCCCCCTTGAGGGACGGGCTTGCGATGACTGCAATGAGGGGCGGGCTTGCGAGGACGGCAAACGGGCAGTGTGCGCGTGCGCACACCGGCCCGTTCGTCAGTTGTCGAACAAGCAGGCCACTCACTCGCCGAGAATCGTACGATTCCCGGCGGGTTTTCTAGCCTGCTTGTTCGATGGAAGACGTGCGACTGTACAGTAGAAACGGTCGCACGCCTTCCATACACTGTACGATTCTCGTACGATCGCGGGATTTCCCGCGATTCTCGTACGAGAATCGTACAGTGTATGGGCACCTTTAGGGTCAGCACGCAGCCAAGCCCATCTCCACCATCTGGTGAATACCATCTGGCCCTTAGATTCCACATCCTGGAGGACCCTATACTAACTACTCAGCATTGCAGCACCCTGCTGGTACTTAAACTTCCAGCTTAAGCTGTCTTCCACTGCCTCATTCAGTTACCTTCCTCTGTTCCCTGCTTGTACTCCAGCTCTGGGAGTCGTCAGCCTACACGGCTTGGACCCTTTTCTCTAAGTGTCCCTGCCAGTCTAGTAGAAAGGGTCCACATACCTGACTCCAGTTCATACCCATGAGCCTCGATCCATGACAACAACAGTGGACCATGGCTGTGCAATGCAGAAAGGCTGCTTGTAGTCTCCACCTGGGGTGAATGCGACAGGGTGACAACGGAGGATCAGAATTGAGAGACAGTTGTCATTAACAGGAAGTGCCTGAGCAAGGACCTTCATGGCATTAAATCTTTTAAGGAAAGATCTAGGTTGAACAAGAAAATCATAACAACTTCTGAAATTACATTAAAATGTTAAATGTGAGATTTTTAGTGACAGCATTTAGATCCACTTTAACAAAAGGTAAACTTTAAAATTAAATGACTTATATTTTTCAATAAATAAGTGCAAAAAATTTCTGTTGCTAACAGATTTAATTAGATATTTCTTCCCAAAAATGGTTCAGGAACATGAACAGAGAAAAAACAGAAACTGAAAAGAATATGTAGATTTGTGTAGTTTTTTATTTAATTTTTTTCAAGCAAAGATGTTAAAAAAAGCAGTTTTCCAGTTAACCTCCCTGGCGGTATGATTTTTTCTTTTTTTTTTTCGACGCGGATGCTCGCAAGGGACAGACCCGGAAGACGGATGCCGGCATCGGCCGGAGGACACAGCGCGGCTCAAGGGACAAGGTAAGAGACGTGCTGTGTATTCCCGAGTGTGGCTCGGGCTTACCGCTTATGGTACAGAAAATTAACCCTCGGGAATATCGCCAAGTAGGTTAACAAGGTCAGATTTGGCGTTTATGAAAATACATGAAGCTGTGGTTAAGGGTTTCTTTAGGATCTAGAGGAGGCCTGGAGCTTGAGCTCAATTGCCAGAGCAACTCCAGAACCAGACCTTGCAACCCTAGAGCACTCCCAATACTACTTCTATCCTTAAGGGTGCATTTACTCCTAAATTGGAAGGAAATTGCACGGTAACGGAGGGTTTGTTGACTTGCAATTGTACATTACGATTTCCTTCCAATCCTTTGCATTGCAATCTATTTTTCAACGGATGCCAACCGACGGGCACCGAAAAAATGAATGGTTGTGAATGGGGATAGTTCACGCCTGATTTGTGCTGAAAAAAGTAGTGCATGTTCAACTTTTTTTTTTAGTGCAACGTAACATAATGCAACAGAACGGAGCGGTGTGAACTAGCCCCATTCATATTTCAGTGCCATTCCGTTAGCCTCTGTTGAAAAAAGGATTGCAACAGAACAGATCCGTTGTGAATGGACCCTTAAATATAACTTTACCTTTAGTGAAGTTGTGTTTTAATAAATCCAACTACCCCCTGAGTACAGACAGCCATGGTCCATTGTTGTCAGCTCAATCCAGCGATTTTTCCTCTGACACAGTTTTGGCCAGCCCCTTTTCATTCTAATGATGAGAACCATACTCTAAAGGGCCAGGGGTCCCATGTACAAAATAAAGTAGAGATGGCCTGATCTATGTTAGAGGTAAGACTGCTGGATCGTGGGCTATAGGTAAGTACTCAGGGTTGTGTGGGGGTTTGTTAAAACACAACTTCACTAAAGGCGAACTTGTGCTTTAAGGACCCGTATACATATCTCTGTGTGCATAATTCAGTTTTTTCCGTGTTTAATATGTCACAAAATATGTGCTTGCACTTCGTTGGGGCAACACAATGCACCACAATGCATGTACTATCAGATAAATATGCACTGCGGTGGACTAAATTGTAGATGCATTGACTGACTGTATATTTTCTTGCCATTCAAAGTAGATGGTAATACACTCCATTGCATATTGTAGTTTGTTACAGTTATGCACATTAAAATGCGGGTGGCATGCACAAAAATATGTGAATCCAGTCTATAGTGAATTTATGTTAGTTTTCTGCATTCTGTCTTTATTTTGGCCAGTGCTGAATAAATAACATTTTTGAAAGTATTGTTTTTCTAGTCAGCTACATACTGTATGAAATATTGCACAATAATGTTTTTCATTCTCCATTTGAGCCACAAAACAGAACTTTAAGTTCCTTTTTTTCCACCCTTTTTCCTTCCTTCTTTTCTATAATGCTTGTTGTCTGCAGCAAGCTGAAATTCAAGCAGAAATTGAAGCAGAAGTGACTAATTGCATATCTTATCCCTTATTGAACAGCTCAAGGCAAAGTTTCAATTAGACAAGCCAAACCTCATGTCAGGCTGTGCTTTCTCTCTAGCTAACCCATTGAGCTTTGGGTATACTTTGATGTGTATTAATTGATTATTTGTGGGTAAACACAGGTCAGCAAAAGCAACCTCCATGTTGTTTTTATGGTAGGTATACTTAAAGGATTCTGAACCCCTAGAATAAAATTGTAATATTTTAGCTTACCAGTCCTTATATGTGGTAATTGCATTCACTTTCATGGCTAAGAACATTTTAAGCAAGCACAGGAAATACCTACGGATCCTGCAGAAATAAAGTGTCACTTGCTGTGAGATGAGATGAAATGGAAGGGAAAAAAAATAATGTTAACATCATAACCCCCCATGTAATGGGGATGAAAAAAGCCAGACCTGTTTAATGTCCAGCCTGTGTGACAACCATGGCTTCATATGTAGCTACAATGTAGGAGTGAGTATAGCTGCCCAGGGACAGGAAGCATTTTTTGCAGGATTAGCAGAAAGCTAATGCAGACACCCCTAGTTTGGGTTCAGACACACTTTAAGCCATCCTTGATTGAATATGGTCACCAGTGAAACCAGTCTGACATGTTTTTGATAACTTATAAAAATTTCCTATTGGTAGTCCAGCTGATTCAAGGAAAAATGAAATCTTATTAAAGCTGCACACTGTTTGAATTCCCACTAACTGTCCGTGAAGATCTTGTTTTGTTACTCCGATGAATTTTAACAAAGCAAATTATAATAGCTATACTTAACAATAATATTATGATGCATATCAAAACTATTAAGAGATGCGTATGGCAGTCAAAGAAGGAACGATAGACATCATCAACCAACATATCCCTGACTGCTGGTGGGGAATGGCATATGTATCCTTCGGGCCAATTTTGAACTATCCAATCCATTTCTACAATTTCTCTCATTTCAGTCACAAAAGAACATGAACAAGTATATCGATTATTGTCTCCTATAAAGCTTCTCAGATGTTCAAAAGATTGCAGCTGTCCTCTGTTTAGGGTTTCAATAAGATTCCCATCAACAGCTATGACCTGAAGAAAAGGGAGATTACCCATGGGGGAAAGAGTTGTAAAAACATTGTAAGACAGATAGAGCTCTTTGAGTCTAGCCAATGAGATATTTAGCATTTCAATTTTGTTGTGGCTTAAATCAAGGACTTCACAGTTTTTAGGCAAACCAATATAAACATGCTCCAGGCCAGTATTAGACAAATTTAAGCGAATTAACGATGGCTGCCATTCACAAAGAAAACTGGAATTTCTAGAGAAATTGTTCTTACTTAGGTCTAAATGTGCCAATAGGTTGTATTTCCTTAGTGATTGGCAGACAGATTCATAATTAACTAAATTATTACGATGAAGTTTTAATATCTTGAGATTGGGAAATGCACCACTACAAAAAGATGAAGAGAGACTTTCCTCTTGAAGAAGGTTTTCTGATAGGTCTAGATCTGACATATACTTAAAATTCAAACTGATATCACATGGAATAGCCTTTAAGTTGGACTTCATCACTGTTAATTTGCCCAGGGTAGACATCCAATTTCCAAGACCATAGAACACAGTATCTCTCTGTATTAATGGATGTGAAGACATGTTGATGAATTGTATTGATGATATACGAGGTTGTTGTACTCCCATTGTCACATTATATTTGCCCACAAAAGTTGTGTTTTCAAACGCTAGCAAAGTTATTTGAACATTTTGCAACCATTTTATAAAGGCAAACAGAAACTCCTCAGACAAAACAACATTTACAAAACTGATCTTGTTTAACTGCTTTGGAACTTCACTTTGAGCCTGTAGCAGTTGAATGCTGTATATAATAAAATTGTTGGCATCCATGTAGGTTCCTTCCTTAAATTCAAAGCTGGAAGCTGTAATGCATGAAATAATAGTCATGATGTTCTCCATGTTAAGAAGCGAACAAGAACAATGTCCACGGGAGTGATCATAGGTGCAATCTGCCTCTGAAGCTGGGATCTTCTGCGCAAATAAAAAGATGACAATAAAAGAATGGCTGATCTTCATTGTGGAAAGTTTTCTGGAAAAATAACAAGAAAAAAAACAACAGAAAAAAATGAGGGCTGTGGAAATTAAAGATCAATTTCTCGATTAATCGTTAAACTTTTTGATAGATTCGCTAATGAAAACACTCACCTCTCCGCCGGCTTCCGGGAGTCCCGTCGGCTATCCAGTGACGTCATGGACATCGACGTCACCGGACTCCTACCCCCTTCCCCAAGTGGCTCCGTCGGCTAACAAAGGGAAGGGGGAGGAGTACGGTGAAGTCGATGTCCGTGACGGCTAACGAAGGGAAGCCGACGGAGCCACTTGGGCCGGTTAGTTTGACCAAGAAACTTTCTGCATGAGCGCCAGCCAAGGCATTGGCCTATATAAATATAGCACAGCAATGAAGTAATAAAATGAACTAGAATCACACTAATCCAGCACGTTATTATTCTGAGTTGCCCCACTCAAGCGGCGGCCATATTGAGTGGGGCACGTGAGATTAATAACGTGCTGGATTAGTGTGATCCTAGTTCATTTTATTACTTCATTGCTGTGCTGAATGTGTATAGGCCAATGTAGTTGGATCTGTATGTGCGTTATAATTAATCGAAAGTAATCGATTAATCAATTTAAACATTTTTCGATTAATCGAACACGAAAATTTTAATCATTACCAGCCCTAAAAAAAATTATTAAAAAAACAAAACAAAATGCACATTTTACTTCACAACAATCATCCTTGCAAGGTCACTCCACCCCCTCTTCTATTACTGGTTAGGTGAAGTAGCCAGGCACTCCTTTCTTGTTCTATTTTGCCCCACTCATAAACCAACACCACTATAGTGTTAATGTTTGATCTCTATGATGCTTAATTGCCTTTTACAATTGGGTATTGACCTAGGCCAGGGGTGCCCATTAGGTAGATCGTGATCTACCAGTAGCTCACAAAGCTGATGCTGGTAGATCACGAGGGTGTGAATGGTGGCCCCTTTATTCCATTCTGGTATATTTATTAAGCTGTGCACACATGATTACCTATTAGCCTGAGTCTGCTGAGCCAAGCTCCCTGACACCTTTCTGGTGGATACTGGTGGTTGAAATGCTATGTATTACATCAAAGAATATTAGTTTACACAGCCTGTTGCACTACACTGTTTGCAAAATACAGCAATACAGCGGATGACAGCAGTGTAGCGCATTCCCATGTGAAGCCCCAAGCAGCCTTGATGCGTCTTCTCTGTCCCTACTCTGCTAAAATACATGAGCAGCCAATGGCAGTGCTGCACTCTTCCTCTTAGCCAATAGCAACTGGGGTGGGCGTGGTAAGATACAAGTGGTTGCCGAGTGCTGAGGAGCCCGTACAGCAGGAGTCTCAAACTCAATTTAGTCGGGGGCCACTGGACACATTTTTTAGTCCTGTGGGGGCCGCTACTATATACGGTACCAGTGTTAATGTCTGCATATGTTACAAGTGGCAGCTGTCACCCATTCAAATTAATGATTGGGTGACAGCTGCTGCATGTAAATGCCTGCACACTGCATGTAATCATATGCAAAAGGATTACATGCAGTTAGGAATCTGTCACTATCCCTGATTGTGTATCCAGAGATAGTGATTGTTTTTGTAACTGCATGTAATCATATCACATACAATTACGCAGGCGTGTACATGCAGCGGCTGTCACCCGATCATTAACTTGAATGGGTAACAGTTGCTGTATGTAAACGCCAGATTAGGGATTCCTGCTGCAGGAAAACACAAGTTTGTGACACAGGAATCCCTAATCGCACCTGAAATATAGGCGTGAATGGGGCCTAATATACACATATACACACAGTCCGTGACCTTGTGCCCGACTTGTCAGCTGGCCAGAGACCGCTGCCGCAGTGAAGCTGTACGGCAGCGGCCGTTTTAAAGGGGAATCAGCGGGGGGGCACATGGGGGGCAAGGAATAACCTATGCTTTGTATGCTAAAAAAGAGGCGCTTATCCAGAGACACAAACACCACTATAATTCAACCTTTACCTTACAAATAAGGTTACAGTTGGCTATAATCAACAATCCATAACTGTATGCACAAAAGAAAATTGATTCTGGTCCTAGAGAGGACTCAGATCACAGTAGTCATAAAGGATTGTAAAAGATTGGAGAAGCCAAAGCAATTATCCAAAAATAATTACATTTATTTGTCAATACAAAAGGGCATGAATAAAACCAAGTTACATTTTTCAATAATCGATTATAATCGATTATGTCGATTAGTTGTTGCAGCCCTACACCTTTTCCCCACCCATGTACCAATATCTAAAAAACAATGAAAATAGACAATGTTGTCTAACTCCCACATACCAATCATGCATACGGGCAGGCTGATAAGATTCTTGATTAATTGCCGGTGGAGCTCTGAGAGGAATGAATGGATTCAGTAAATCAATTGTTGAAGCGCAACGTGCACTGTTGCTTCATAAAGACAAGAAATTAATTGCCCAATACAGGGGCGTCCCGAGGTCGGGTGTCACCTGGTCTCTAGACCGGGTGACACCCCGCATGTCGTCATCGCGTGTGCACGTGACGTCCCCTCGCGCATGCGCATTGACATCATCGCGCACGCACAGCCATCTGATTGATGCCTGCTGGCGGCCATCTTGGTGATGCCTGCTGGCGGCCATCTTGGTGATGCCTGCTGGCGGCCATCTTGGTGATGGACGCCGACAGAGCGAGGAGGTATGCCGCCAGGTTCCCTACTCTCTCCGAAGAAAAAAGAAAGAAAGAAGAAAGAAACAAGACACTCTCTCCTGACAATGTCCGCCAAACTTTTTAGAGGGGGGTGACACCAAAATGACTGACACCCTTGCAATGGTGACACCTGGGTGCGGGCCGCGCCTCCCGCACCCCCCTTGTGACGCCACTGGTCCAGTACTGCTCAAACCCAAAGAGTAGACCTCTTGAAGAATCCCAAAGAAACAATTTGTTTCTTTCAACATGCAGTTCTGAGTCAAAGAAATACTTTCTATTTAGATGACTGGGCACCATATTTCGAAGGATAACCCGGAACCATGAGGATCGATACTCACAGTTGTGGTTCACAGGGGTTCGCTGCCAAGTGCCCGAGAATCCTGAATCACTGTAAGTCTCCTCTGCGTAATAGCCCTGTATATCACGGGATAGCTGTGTTGCTGCACGGGTAGATTACTTTGTTTCTTTGATGATGGTCAGAATGAATGGATGCTTGCTTGACATCCATGGGTGAAGTACGGCTCTTTCCTCCAGCATGTTATTTGTCGACAGACATGCAATCAGTCATATACCCAGGGCATTGCGTTGACGCATTTCGCCCATCCCACTTTCCCGGGGCTTCGTCAGAATGTAAATGGCATTGACCTCAGGGGCTTCTTAAATAGATAGTTCTTAACTCAAACTTTTAACCCCTGCTGTTCCAGAATGCTTCGAGTATTACAGCTCATTCACAACAAGAAAATAAAGGTTATAAACTATGTGTAGTTCGTGGAGAGAAAAACGTATACTTTAGAATATACATAGAGTTCAATACTGCAAGCAAGTATATTCTTTCCATAAGGCTTAATGGGTGCTATTTACAGGAATACTTGTAAATGACATTCATTATTTAGGCCATGGGGGATTAGAGTGTTCAATTTATATATCCACATTTTCTCCTTCTGCAATAATATAGTATTATAGTCACCCCTATGTGCTAACAATCACCTCGGGTATAAGATCCATTTTTCTGAGCAATTCTTTCCCTAAGGTAATTCACATTGAGATCATCACCCAGATAGCAAGCAATTCAGCTGCAAGTTTGAAAATGACTTGATAAAATGACCTTCCTAACGGTCAATACAATCTGACCATACAATTTTTGTGCAATCAATTTTAGATTTACCAAATCTATGTAATAGGAGAACCTACCTAATCCATCCACTTAATCTGCAGCCAATCAGGCAGGTCCTTACATAGTTGTTGGTAGATCTAAAGGAGATTGTACAATCAGATTGTAGAGTGTGTGGTGAGCTTTTATTTCCAAGGGAGAGGAGGATGTCCATCACCTGGTTATAGTCAGTTTTTCAACTAAAAGAATATGAGTGATCATTGTTCTGTAATACATTTGGAATGAATAGATCCTAACATGTAATAGAGCCAATTCAACATCTGGAGCAACAGTCTGATGCACCGCCTCTGACATCAACCCAAAAACCAAATGGACTTGCAGAACCACATAATATGTATAAGGTAACATATCTTTCCATGCTGTCTCTAGCAATCAGGAGAAACAGGGGGTAAATAGCGAGATAGTTTATAGGGAGTGTTGTACCAACCGTGAAAGACCTTCTGAGCAAGCTCCCAGTGGTTAGAACAATGAGAATGAACAAAGGAACTACACACAGCAAAACTCCATTGAGAGGTGGTAAAAACCGTTCATACATTTTGTTACCAGATACGCACCGTTTGCGTGTTTTTAAAGAATCCTCGATTTTGGGATAGTCCATAAAACACAGAGATAGCTCTAGAATGCTCAGGTTCTCCAAAAATTGATGGATAAGTGGGTGCATTGTAATGCTAGAGCTTATGGGATAAACTTGAAAACAGGAGCAACCCCTCATTTCCTTACAGGTCAGCCAGAAAACAGATCATTTGCAGTTTTCATTACTCACAATGTATATGGGGAATACAAAAATATAACCAGTTTATCGGTACCAGTAAAGTCTGCATAGGGTTATGAGAAGGGGGACAGATCAACCTCCTACCAGGCTGCTAATGTAGCCCTAATGGTAAGGAGGATACATGTCAGTTGGGGAATATCTGCCCCCTGCCTTTAGGCTAAAAGGTAGGCCTTGATATTAAAGCAACTAATAAATGGAAGGCATATGAGGGATACAGCACACTTGCTACACATATAAGCACATGTGAGCACATGTGTTGTGACTAGA